AGAGAGAGAGAGAGAGAGAGAGAGAGAGAGAGAGAGAGAGAGAGAGAGAGAGGTTATAAGAATATGAATTTTCTTTCAGTGTGGGCGGTGCAAACCTATAAGCTAGCATCTGGGAGGTGGAAGCAGGGAGATTTAAGAATTTGTAGCCAGCATGTGCTGTATAAAAACTGGTCTAAAAAATGTAGCAACAAATGACATGTGGCTTAAGGCTTTTATGACATTGAGGACAGCGTGAAGAAGGAAATTAAAAATGCAAAACAATAGGCAGTATCTCTAGGCAGTAATTTCAATGAACTGGACTGTTACAGAGAAAATCGAGAGCCAGTCCAATACATACAATTATCACTTTATGTCAAGTGAACATTCCTTGTGGTGGCAACAGTACTGTTGACAGAATTATAAGTGGCTGACAGACTGTATCCACCATATCAGTATACAGGCCTTTTTCTCTGAAAAATGTACAGGAGAGATAAAGAGGGAAAGGCTAGGAACTGTGAGGCATTGCCTAGGGTCCTGGTGCCCAGGACTCAGAACTTCAGGGGAATGACAGGCCAGTACTTCGGCTGCTTTCTGTCACAGTGCTTATAAAAGCTCAGCTGCACTGCAGTCTCCATGGCCAGGATCTTGGCAGCACTGTTCCCGTACAAGCCCTTCATCTCTGCTTGGCGCCTCTCCCAGGGCTTCTCAGATGGGGGCTCCACTGACCTGTGGTGGTTGAAGTACAGGCCGTGGTCCGCATTCACATAGTCATTCAGGCGCTCTGCATCCAGCTGCTGCTGTCGCTGTCTCTCTTCTCTGTGCTTCTCAGTATGTTCGAAGTACTGGCGGAGCTCTTCAGTGATTTCCATATTGCTCAGGTCGCACTCCACTTCATCATCTGAATCCGACTCCAGCTCTTCCTCTTCACACAGTGCTTCGTTTTCTCTTGTGGATGCCTGGGTTCTATTGCTGCTATGCAGAGGCTGCCCAGGGATTTTGAGATGGGAAACACTGTAGGGAGACTCCTGCTGTGCCATGTGCTGGCCTTGAGAGTTCCAAGGATGTCAAGCCTCATAAGCAAGATAGTTCCAGGGAAGAACTCCATGAGGGAAGAATCATGGGGAAGTGAAATAGGAATCCCTGAACTTTCTGTAGGCGTTCTGGTGGCTTCGCATCCAAAGCATTGCATGATGATAATGCTGCCAGTATCTTGCATATACTAGATGACAATACCAAGATGGAGTAGCCCTCCATTTTGAAGCCATTGCTGTAATCTCTGATTGCAAAAGTCCAAATGGGAACTCGCGGGCATGTAGCTTGAAGATCTCGGGCGGTGGGCAACAACAGACCTAGTTCTTGTGGTGGGGAGGAGGAAGGGGCGGGAGCGGGGGAGAGAGAATATGAATTTTCTTAAGAGTCCATACTTTACTTTGTCAGCCAAAACCATGAATGGAGATTCAGATCTGTCTTTTACATGAAATAATAGGGAAACCTTGAGAATTTATTCTCTAGAGGTAAGCTCAAGGAAATTAAAGGACATAAATTCCTAACATTCTTGGCTACACTTATCTTAATTTTACACCTCTGATTAGCTATACCCAAAGTGTATTATAACTTTTTTGTCTCTATGCACTCCACCATTTTGTCCATTTTCTCTTATATGGCTATTACATCAATACAAAACCCTGTTCCCTCACACTCAGGCCATAATATTCTCCATATGCTGAGGATATAGGTGAATATGACACAGGACCTAATGGCAAAGAGTTACAGAACGTAATGATAATTGCCAAAATAGCTCTTGAAATGCTACAAAAATACCACAGTAGTACCTATTACGTGGATGATACACATGATATTGACAGAACCTGGTAAGCAGAAAACATAATTGTACTGTGTTGTGATTCACACAGAAATACACACAAATATGCCTACTTTGTTCTTGAAATGCAACTCTATCCCGTGTTTGATATGTTTCTTGTTGGTTTTAAGCAAATATTGTTTAATACACATAAAAAGTTTCCTTCTAGCCACGTATAGTGGTACACATCATTACTCCTAGCACTTGAGAGTCAAAGGCAGTTCAATTGGAACTCTGAGTTCAAGGGCAGTCTGGTCTATATAGGTAGTTCCAGGTCAGCCAGGGATACATAATGAGACTTTGTCTAAACAAAAATTCTCTATTTCTATTTTGTTTGTAATTAAGATTGAATTATATCAAGTATTTTTACCAGTACCTAACCCCCTATCTATTCATATAACATATTTTGAGCATGTGTTTTTTTCTCTTCCAACCTCTTCCTAGATCCTCCTACTCTAATACCTAACCAACTT